GCTTATCTTTCTCTCATGAAAGAAGTCAACTTCGTGGAGTTAACAGATAGCGTAGCAGTTACATTGCTGGACTTTCACGTGGCCGACCACAATTTGAGTCCCAAACCCAGTGGCTTGAGACTCATACCAGGTGCATGTGTGTGTACCCCAAGATCCCACAAGGAGAATGGAGGAGAAAGGACTGTGGTGTGGCCATTCCCCCTGGGGGGGTGATTTCTCACTTTCACTCTTATTCTTTCTCTCTCTGGTGAGCACATGCACCCTAAGGCATAAACTTTAAAAAAAGGAAAAAAGGGGAACCAGCAGTTAGCGTAATGGCTATGTCGCTGGACTCCCACGTAGTTGAACACGGTTCGAGTCCCAGACCTGGTGGCTTAAACTCACGCCAGGCACATGTGCATGTGTGCCCAAGATCCTGAAAGGAGAATGGAGAAGGGATTATGGCGTGGCCATCCCCCCTGGGGGGTGATTTCTCGCTTTCTGTCTCTATGCCTCTCTCTGTCTGTCTGGCGAGTGCATGTGCCCTATAGTGAAAAAAACCTCTCCGGAAAAAAAAAAAAAAGGAAAAAAGGAAACTTTAAAAAAAATCCAAATTGGGACCAGCAGTTGGTGTAATGGCTATGTCACTGGACTCCCATGTAGTTGAACACGGTTCGAGTCCCAGACCTGGTGGCTTAAACTCACGCCAGGCACATGTGCATGTGTGCCCAAGATCCTGAAAGGAGAATGGAGAAGGGATTATGGCGTGGCCATCCCCCCTGGGGGGTGATTTCTTGCTTTCTGTCTCTCTCTCTTTCTGGTGAACGCACAGAGGCCCTATAGTGGAAAAACCTCCCCCCACCCTGCCAAAAAAAAAAAAAATCCAAATTAAAAATACACATAGAGGGGGCCAGCAGGCGAAGTGGTGGTTAAGGACGCTGGATTCCCATGTGGCCGACAGCGATTCAAGTCCCGGCCCTGAAGGCTCACTTTCTCTCTCTGTCTGTCTCTGTCCCTCTCTGATCAAATTAAAATAAATAAATAAATATATAAATAAATAAAGTTCAATGAAATAATTCTTTAAAAAAAAATACACATGGATTTTCTCATAATTTAAAAGAATTGCTGAAAGGCTCACAGGAAAACTGGTTCTCTGACTGTTCTCTCCCCGACTCCAACTCCTCTCTCTACTCCCATTCAGATTTTTCAGTTCTTTAAAAAAATTTTTAAAAAGATTGTGATTTAACTTAATTTAGTTTGACTGGAGAGGGATAGAGTGAGAGAGAAAGAGAGGGAAAGTGAGAAAGGAAGCCGCCAGGTCTGAGACTCAAACCAGTCGGCCATGTGGGAGTCCAGTGCCCTTAACCACCACGCCATCTGTCGGCCCCAGGTTTTTCAATTCTTAGAACTGTTTCCTACCTCCATGCTTCAATTTGCTTATATTGCTTTATTTTTATTAGTTATCTGTTCACCTCTGAGATTATGGAAGATTTCGGTCTCTTACTGTTTTCCATCTTCCTACTCTTTATCCTCCCACTATATTGTTATTTTCATGTGTGTTTTTTTTTTTTTTTCTAAATCAATATTCAGTGTTGAAATCATTTTGTTCCATGGGACCAGCAGTTGGCGTAATGGCTATGTAGCTGGACTCACATAGTTGACCACGGTTTAAGTCCTGGACCCAGTGGCTTAAACTCTCGCCGTCGCATGTGCGTGCATGCCCAAGATCCCGAGAGGAGATTGGAGAAGGGATTGCGGCATGGCCATTTCCCCCGGAGGATGATTTCTCGCTTTCTTTCTGGCGAGCGTACACGCCCTATAGCAAAAACCTTTCCCCCAAAAAAAGAAATGATTTTGTTCCTTACTGTGCCAAGTAGTATCTTACATTGCAATTACTTGTGCCTTTTTATACAACCTTTTGTTTTTCCTGGGATAATTATTTTTATATCCTTAGTTTCCAGTTTGTACCTGTCACTAGCATGCCGCCCCATGCTCTTGCAGGCTCTCGCAGTGTGATCTTCTGCGCAGGAAAACCTGCCTGAGCAGCGCTCCCACAGTGCAGTGCGGCTGTGGTGCCCATGCTGGCAGCTGCTAGTTCTGCAGGTGTACAGGGCTCCTGCACCCCGAGCTTCCCCCAGCCTCGGACTTCGTTGCCTGTTTTCTGTGGGTGTGCCTATTTCTTGGCTCCCACGTTTCCCTCTTTCTCACTTTTCTTTCTTGTTTGGTTGAGTATGTTCTCAAAACAGCTTTCTGTGGAAAGGTGAGAGAGAAACTTTCTGAGACCTTTACTATCTTAAAATGCCTCTATTTAGCCCTCAAACTTCAGTTGACAAGTTACAGAATTCTAGATTGAAAAAATACTCAACTCCAAGTTTTATGGCTTCTCTAGTTTCAGCTATTGAGTGCATTTTTGCTTTTTGGTACTCTCTGTTCCCTGAAGTTTTTTTTTTTTTTTTTTTTTTTTTGGAGAGGTTTTTGCTATAGGGCGCTTGCGCTCACCCGAAAGACAAGACAGAGAGACAGCAAGAAGTCACCCCCTGGGGGGATGGCCACAATTCCCTCTCCTCCATTCTCCTCTTGGGATCTTGGGCACACACGCACACACGCCTGGCATGAGTTTAAGCCACTGGGTCCGGGACTCGAACCATGGTCAACTACATGGGAGACCAGTGACATAGCTAACTGCTGGTCCCCCAACATATTCATTTTCTGTTTGTGTTTTTCTCTTTTTTCGGAACTTATTATATGTTGAGATAAAAGAATATTGCATGATAGGCTGGCCCTACAGCCCGGTGGTTAAGGGACACTGAATCCCATATGATGGCCACTGTTTGAATCTTGACAGCTTGAAAAACTCACCAGGTGCATGCAATTGCATGCCCCAAATCCTGACAGGATGGAGAAATGGAGACAGGATTGTGGTATGATCATGTTCCTTTGGGTGGTGCATTCTCTTTCTCTCTCTCGCTCTCGCTCTGTCTCTTTCTCCCTGGCATGCATGTGTACATGCCCTCTGGCAACTAAAGAAAAGAACATTACATAGAACTTTATTGTATATTGGAATAAAAGACCCTTGCAGGGAACAGTTATTTTGAGCCATGAATTGAAGAGGGATTAGCTCAGCCCTCTGTGCTTGAAGGAGAGACAGAGCTGGATGAGGGTACATGCAGCCTTCCTGGTGGGGAACAGTGGGAAGGAAGGCTCAGAGGTGGAACCCTTGTAGCAACTACAGGAGATGCTGAGATGGGCCACACCAGAACCCAGTGGTACTGCTAGGTGGTGTGGGAAGTCCCGGGGAACCGCGACCAGACTACTGAGATGGAAAGCAAGGCAGGAAGGACAGTTCCACTCAGGGAAGATCGGGAGTTACTGACACTCTCTGAGTTAGTGAGTGTGTAGGGATGGCTGCGCTGATAATGGTGCCAGAAGGGTTTGTGAGGTAATAAGATGGTTATACTGAAGCGGAGCTGACGTGGTTAAGTCGGATGGAAGGACGGTTTGGATATGAGATTCTTACAGGGAAAACCCAGCAGAGTATAGTGATGATCAAGTGAGCGGTCGCCCGACTACATTGTGACCTTCCCAGTCCTTGAGCTGTTTAAGGGCTCGTGCTGCACCGTCAGCTGACGGAGCACATGCAAGGAGCAGCCACCCAGCACTGGTGGCAGGAGGCTGTGTGCTCCTCGGTCACCTTTCACAAGTCCAGTGTCACGTCCTGTTGGGGAGTGCAGATGCAGACAAATGCAGAGTGGTACCCGTGTGACTTACCGTGCTTCTCCTGACAGCTCGTGGGACTGGAAGCAGGGAGACGGCCACAGCTATCCTTGTCGTTGTTCTGTCTAACTTGGTGTTTCGTACTTGTATAACACAGATGTATGTAAAATAGCAATTCCTTTTGGTTACCAAATTGATACCACTCATTTCTCTGAGGGATTCAAGACGCTTTTTAGTGACATTGTTGATCGCTCACTCTTACAAATATCGTTTTTCCTTTATCATATTAACTCAGAGAGCTCATCATCTTTGATCTTTCTTTATTCTGCCCCATAAGCATTGTTTCCTAGGTGGTTTATTTAGAGGTTAATGTCTACCCCCTTCTTTTTATATGTATTGCTTTTTTTTTTTAAAAAATTAGGTCACGTACACCGGCTAGAAAGAGAGGTGTGGGAAAACAAGGAAGCCCTCTCCAACCTCCCGTGGACATGGGACACTGCATTCCCCTCTCCTCCATCTCTGTCGCATTTCAGCACTTGGAGCATGCACGCTCACTCACCCAGCATGTCTTTCATGTCACCAGTCCGAGACTTGAACTGTGCAGCCATGTGGGATTCAGCCGCCTTAACCACTGGGACATAGGCTGGCCTCGTTGCTCTTTTTAATCTTGATAAGATTTCTTCCTACAGAGATGAGGAGATAGAAAATTGTATTGATAGTACTTTAAAAAGCATAAGCAAGGAAGCCCTTTGTAGGCACTGCCGTTTCTAGGTAACGTTTGGCCTGCCCTCTGCTTACTAGTTCTGTGACTGAGAGTGCCCTCTTATGGTGACACAAAAATAGTCAGGAAGTGCTGCGACCCTCAGCGTGAGTTTTTTTGTTTTGTTTTTTGAAGAGGTTTTTATCTTAGGGTGCGTGCTCTTGCTGGAGAGACAGACAGAGACAGTGAGAGCGGAAGTGAGAAGTCCACCCCCTGACTGCAGGGGATGTCCAGGCCGTAATCCCTTCTCCATTCTCCTCCCAGGATCTTGTCTGGTGTGATTTTTCAAGCCACTGGGTTTGAGATCAAACCACAGTCATCCGTATGGGAGTCCAGCAGTATAACCATTAAACCATCTCCTGGCTCAAAGTTGGAGTTTTTAAAGAGGGATTTATGTGACCTCTCCCTGCCTCCCAAGCCCAAGTGTGGCCTGTTGATAGTTGTATTTAGTGTTCACCTCATATTTGCCATATACAGCGTTAGGAGGAGCTGAAAGATGCCACTTACTCAAACAAGCATAACCTGGTAAAAACTGTGTTTGCTCTAGGTTGAACGACCGCCTTCTCCATTCTCCATGGCCCCACAAGCTTCCCTTCCCCCTGTGCCACCACGACTTGACCTTCTACAACAGCGAATCTCTATTCCTTCAAGTACTTCTAGTCTTGGAGCAGCTTCTAAGGTAAAGCACGTCCATTTCTAGGTTTCTGAGTCTGTGCTGTGCATTGATGGGTTTCCATTGATGGCTCCCATCATGCTTCCACAGGCCGCACCTGGCTCTCTTCACAAGGATAAACCATTGCCGATACCTCCCACACTTCGAGATCTTCCGCCGCCACCCCCTCCAGACCGGCCGTATTCTATTGGAGCAGAAGCCCGGCCCCAGAGGCGCCCCCTGCCTTGTACACCAGGCGAATGTCCATCCAGGGACAAATTACCCCCTGTCCCCTCAAGCCGCCTTGGGGACTCATGGCTGCCTCGGCCAATCCCCAAAGTTCCAGTAGCTGCCCCAAGCTCCAGTGAACCCTGGACAGGAAGAGAATTAACCAACCGACACTCACTTCCATTTTCCTTGCCCTCACAAATGGAGCCCAGAGCAGATGTGTCTAGGCTTGGAAGCACATTCAGTCTGGATACCTCTGTGGTGAGTCATAATTTTGAAATTATTTAGCTTGTTAACAAATATTTGTGGGGTCAGCAGGTGGCATGGCAGTTAAGGCATAGGATCCCACACAGCTAACTGCGTGGTTTGAGTCTTGGACCTTGTGGCTTGAAAATAACACTGGGCACGTGTGTGTGCATGACCAAAATCCTGGGAGGAGACTGGAGGAGAATGGATTATTGTGTGGCCATCCCTCTTGAGGGATGATTTCTCACTTTGCCTCTCTCTCTCTCTCTCTGGCAAGTGCATGCCCTATAGCAAATCTAAAAGAAAAAATTACACACACACACACAAATATTTGTGGATGATATTTTATGGATCAAAATTTTGTTGTAGGGTTTGTATTGGATTCAGAGATAATAGACTTCCTACCCTCAGAGGTATACATGTTAATAGAGCAGATAGGGCAGCTTGTGAATACTCTCGTAAATATCATGAGTAATATAAGTAGGAAACACGTAAGTTTGGGAGAAAGGAGAGAGTGCTTCCGGGTAGAGCAGTCAGGAGAGTGTGGAAAGAGTTGATCCTGAATGTGAAGTATTTGGGTGAAAGCATATATAGTTTTAAAAGCAGAGCCACAATGTCAGAGCTGCCTAAGGGGAATAATGAATAGGTTATTTGGAATGGAGCAGAAAATTTGTGTCTTAGTAAAGGAACATTTTAACACTGGATTAGAGAACTTTGAATTTGCCTCCAAAAAGAATCTGAATTTATTTGGTAGAAAATGAGGGACATTTGAAGGTTTTACATTAGTGGAGTGACATGACCAAAACGATGGATTGAAAGGATTGATCTAGAAGCCAGCAGGCAGCATGGTGGCTAAAGTGCTGAGCTCCCTCATAGCTGACCACAATTCGAGTCTTGGACCTGGCAGCTTACTTTCTCATTCTCCCTCTCTGTCTCTTTCCGGTCAAATTAAGAAAATAATAACAACAGAGACCAGCAGGTAGCCTAATGGTTACGTTGCTGGACTCCCATGTAATTGACAGTGGTTTGAGTCCTGAACCCGGCAGCTTAAAACTCACACCGGGCATGTGTGTGTGTGCTTGCCAAAAATCCTGAGAGGAGACTGGAGGAGAAGGGATTGAGGTGTGGCCATTCCCACCAGGGGGTGATTTCTCACCTTCTGCTTCTCTGTCTCTCCGGTGAGTGCCCACACCCTATAGCAAAAATATCTTTTTAAAAAATAAAAAATAGGGACCAGCAGGTGGCGTGGTGGTTAAGGCGCTGGACACTCCCACATGGCCAACCATGGTTGGACCTGGTGGCTTCCTTTCTCACTTTCCCTCTTTGTCTCTGTGTCTCTCTCTGGTCAAGTTTAAAAATGAATGAATAAATAAAATTAAATAAATTAAAAAAAATAAAAATAATAGTGCTAAATCAAATTAAATAAGTAATTTTGTTTTCATTATTTAGAGAATATTTTATTAGTTTCTGTAATCAAACCCATGTATATAAGACCTTACATATTTAATACAGAGCATTACACCTGTACCAATGGAAAAAAATTACGTTAACGTTTCTAGACCAATATGGCTGTTAATTTCTGTACAATGCCAACTCAACACAGTAAACTGGGATACTTTCTCCAAAGTTGACAGCATAGCTAAAGTTTCCAAAAATTCAAATTATATATATATATGTATCTGTATATATGTGTATATTTATATAAAAAAAACAATAATAGCAGTATGTTACACATCAATAGCAGCAACAGCCTTTCCAGGTTCTGCAGTCATCTGAACAAAATTATAGAGACATCCGTCACACTCTATTAAAAAAAAAAGATAAAAAGCAAAACAACCCCCCCGAAACTTACTTTACAATATATATAATTATATAATTTATTAAAATTAACTTAACACAATTAATATACAGTACAAAATGTTAACAGTAGTCATTTTACAATTCAATAAGCACTTCAAATACAGAAATGTTGAGATGCCAAAACTACACTCAGCAACTGCTGCATCAATGACTCTAGCTCGCTAGTTCAGGCTGAACATTCACCCTTCGAAGCACTTCTTCAGGCATGCAAAAAACAGGACTAACGGGTTTAATCTGTTCTTCTCCCAAAAGTGACAATCCGGCAATTCCAAATAACGTATGAGAAGGATCCACCATATCTCCTGGTCTGTCTGCAAATCCCCGTTTCTTCATCTTGACCTGCTGAGATGAAACTACGCAGTTTTTCTCTATCACTCCAATGCAACCCTCCAATTATCTTTAGGGAGGCCAAAACCCACCATGAATAGCATACATCTGGTAACTTCTCTGGTCGTCCATTGAGTCCACCTGAAGGTGACTGTCGCTCCCAAAGCCACGAACCAAGTAAATCAGAATTTACTTGATGCAGCTGACTAGTAATAGCCAGGAATCCTGCCCAGCATGAGATTCAGAACCTGGTCTGCAACCAAATCCACCATCAAAGTTCATACAGGAGGGAACCAGCAGTTAGTGTAATGGCTATGTCGCTGGACTCCCACGTAGTCGACTGCGGTTCGGTCCTAGACCCGGTGGCTTAAAACTCACGCAGGGTGCATGTGCGTGCGTGCCCAGGATCCTGAGAGGAGAATGGAGAAGGGATTGCGGCGTGACCATCCCCCCTGGGGGGTGATTTTTCACTTTCTGTCTCTATGTCTCTCTCTCTCTGGCGAACGCATGCGCCCTATAGTGAAAAAAAAACCTCTTCAAAAAAAAAAATTCATACAGGATAAAACAAATTCAATTGCCTTTTCCACATTGATAGCATCAAGTTTCCCCAGTAGAGCCAAAGTTGCCACTGCACAAAAAGACAATCTCGTATCAATTTCTCCTTATCTTTTAGACTGGCCCACTCTGTTCCCGTGCTCCTGTATGTTGATATAACTACCACAGTGCATGCTGGAACTTCCAGCAGAGCAGCTAGACCAGCTGCTTACCGGGACCCCAAATCCAGCAAAAGAACCATCTTCTGGGAACCAGCAGTTAGCGTAATGGCCATGTTGCTGGACTCCCACGTAGTCGACCGCGGTTCGTGTCCTAGACCTGGTGGCTTAAAACTCAGGCCGGGCGTGTTTGCATGCGTACCCAAGATCCCGAGAGGAGAATGGAGGAGAAGGGATTGCGGCGTGACCATCCCCCCTGGGGGCTGATTTCTCGCTTTCTGTCTCTATGTCTCTCTCTATCT